ATTGTGCTGAAAAACGTTTACAAACAAATGGTTTAGGTGTTACTACTGAAGGTAAATCAGACGTTGTTCGTTTCATTGTAAATGTTTGGGATTCTTTAGATTTAGTTGCAACAGCAAAAAATGTTTATACAGGAATGATAACAGCTGGTTCAAAAGCTAATCAAACGCATAAAATGGTCGAAGTAAGTTGATTTAACTAGTGTTCATTTCTTTTGTCTATTTGTTTTCTCTCTTTTAGGATCTTAAATATCGTGTTCTTGGTCATCAAAATAATTCTAATGATGCTTAAATACTTTATTATTAGTTTTTCTTTTTGTTATTTCCTGTATATTAAAATAAACTAGACATTTCATCTTCAGAATACTTTAATATTAGATTATGTCACAGATAAATATGACCATCGATGATCGTTTTACTTTTTCAAAATTCTAGATTCGATACTGCTATTCAAACGATGTCTAGAGTTGCTGTTTTTTCGAAGATTTCTGAAGTCTTTTAGTTGTTCCATTATTTTTCCAATCGATTTATTTCTTGTTTTTCTTAATTAATTGATAAGGATTGAAGTCGAACTTAACTGTTTGACTTTGATGAACTTTTAATTGTAGTAGTCGAATAGATGAATAACTAATGTGTTTCATTTAGATTTGATGTAAATCATTAAATCATGTGTGTTTTTATAGCATTTATATAACATCTGTAATGTTTTCTTTCTGAATGGTTTGAATTAAATTTAAAAATCCTTAGCTGAAGCAAAATTTGAAATACATGTAATTTTTTTAAAATATATTTAATTTAAATATTGATAAAATCGATTGTTTAGTAACATAAAACATTAATTTATCATGAAAAGACGTATAAACTGTAGTGGCCACTCTGTTTTCGTTAAATATTGTCTTCTATATCAACTAATGTAATAACTATAGTCTTGAACTACAGCTCAAAGAAAATAAATTGAATTTGGTAATTTACTAGAAACAAACGTGTAAATCCTAATCACATGTCTCGCCCAGGAAAGTGTGTCATGTTCTATTAGAAATCATTCCTATTATTCCATGAATCTTTTAATGAGACGATAAATCAAATATTGAAAAATATCTTCATATGAATAAGTTTTTTGAGATTTCGTAATTTTTGCGATTGTTTGTTTCGAAGTTTGATCAATAATTTTAATTTTATTTCCAAATACATAATAGGATTCCATAAGATATTTTTGAACGTTTTCCTGTTGAATTGAAAATCAAAAGTTCACCTGCTTGAAATCCATGAAACCAATCTTCTTTAATCAAATAACTACGAATAGCAGTTTGAAAATTATCAACATGCAAAATATCTACCATGAAGATCAAGATAAGGACGTAAATCATAATCAACATTTTCATAGTTTCTATTTATCAGTTAAAATGAAGGATTTTAACATGAAAACAATTTCTAGCAACTGTTTAGTTCGTTGTTCTTGGTGACAATCTGCTATTTATTTTTGACCTTAGAGATAAGCGTTGACATACTTCTAAATTAAGAATAAAGAACAAGGAAAAAATATTGTGCTTTAATGCATGAGCAATTAGAGTATAAGTGTCGATGAGAAGAAGACCACCGTCGACACCTTCACTCACGCTCAATACACAGAGTGATGACAGAAAATATGTCAGAGTACATGAAGTGCAAAGTACAAATTTTGCATTGCTGAATTCTACAATCCTATATATAGGATGAGGAGAATGCATTTAATGAACTACACAGAGTATATTTTAATGCATGGGTGATAAAACAAGGGACAAAACTGAGAGTTTAGTTACATATATCTTGTATCGGTCAGCAGACAATGCGCAGAGCTATCTATACTTGGAGTATGAATTCGGAATTCAGGGGATATATATGAACCACAGTTATATTTTATCCTTATTAGCAAAGTGTAAGCTAACAGTTTCATATTGAAAAATAGAGATAATGCTTATCAGATAAGATAGTAGCTAAAAGAAATAACAATTTCTTTTTCATTTGATAAAAGAAATCTGTATTATTGATGGTTTATGACATTATTAACGGAACATTATTTTGACTTTTTAGGTATAAGAGATGACCAAAATCAAAAATTAAAGTTGCAAAAGAAAAAACTAGTAGATTGTTTTAGATTATCAGAACAAGTTTTCATACACTATTTTGCATGAAAAATTCATTGGATGATCTTCGAGTCAGAGTGTTTAGTTGTTTCGTTAATTCTTTCTTTTTTTTCTGAGCAAACAGCTAAAATAGTCAGCATATCACAGAAATCATGAGTTTCGTAAATTTTGCTTCTATTTTACAAATATGTTAGTAAAAGCACTGTTTTAATCTCTTAGGACTAATTCTTTCACAGTATAGAGTTGAAAATATTCCATATGTTAGATCTCTGAAAGGAAACCAGAGCTGCCACCTCTTCTGCTTTTAGCAGAAAAATTCTGCTTTTTGAAAAATTTTCTGTCTTTTTTCTGTGGTTTCTGCTTTTTGAGAATTTTTCTGCTTTTTTGGATACTGCGAAATTTATGTTTTTAAAATATTTTTCATCTCACAGATCATTTTTTACGATTATAAAAGAAATCCTTATCAATAGTTACTAACCCATGTTCTCAAAATCGTCTGACTTTGACGATTCTCCGCCATTTAAAAAAAACGCCAATTAATCGCTAGCATTTGGTGATTATATTGTCGAAGTTTAGCATAAATGGCGATTTTTCGGTGAAAATTAGCAAAAATCGACAGTTTTTTACAATTTACCGCGATATAATCTCACAATTAATCGGGCTAGCATATCGCAATACAATCGGCGATTTTGATTTGGCTGTTGACACAGATAGTCTATATATGGTCGACCTATTCTATCAAAGTCATATGGGTTTTTCATTTTGTGTTTTTGTTGCAAGGATTCAAGAAAAATCGCCAATTTTTACGATTTATCGCGATATAATCTCTCGATTAATCGCTAACATATCGCTATAAAATGATCGATTTTGTGACGATTTCGATGACATGGGAATGTTTTTGTTCTATTATAATTCTTTCGATGTTACAAAAATGATCTTTATTTTTGTTAGTTCCGACTAGTTATGGATGTTTATATATTCTTTCACTTAATCACCAAATTTTAGGAAGCTGGTATGCTTTCATATTCTCTACTTTGTAGCAACCCTTATGTGGAATCAGCATTCTGAAAATTGAAACTTTTTTAAATGATAAAAAAAACTGTATAGGAACAGAACTAATATCAGCTTTATTAGCAATACTTTTAAATTCATTCTTATCATGTATTGAAACACATAAATATTGATTAGGTAATCAAGATTTATTAAAATCTGTTAAATGTGATGAAAAATATACGTTCAAAAGAAACTTTGTTGCATAATCCTGTTTATTTGTTAATTAATTGTTTTTCTTGATTCTGTACAATAATGATCAACATTTGATGTGAAAGCACTTAATTAGTATACTGGGACAAAGTTTCAAAACAGCTTTATATCACAGAAAATGCTTTCTGTCTTTTTATTCTGCTTTTTTATGATAAAATTTCTGTCATTTTCTGCTTTTTAAAATGATTTTCTGCTTTTTGGACTTCAAAAGGTGGCAGCACTGAAGGAAACTTCTATTTAGATTAATTTTTTTTTACTTGTCAATAGAAATCTTCATTTTCTTGAATTATTTAGGAATTGGTGTACCTATTGAACAATGGAAACTAATATTTGTGTTGAAAAATCACAAAGTTGCACCGTGGAGATGTAGTTGATTTTATTACTTTTGATTCAAATCTATGTGCATCATGTGAGTCCGAACTACCAATGAATATTTGGGTGTGGGGGAGAATAACATAATTATCCTAACACCCACACCCACACCCCACACCCGCCCCACACCCACCCACACCCACACCCCATATATGTCAAACATCTTAACCATTCAGCCATAGCGGCCAGGTTTATTGGAGAGTGCCTAAGTGTTTCTAATAGTTAACAGAGCATCAACCGTTCTCTCGAATTATCGTAATTTTCATTGTCTGTTGAGTGGAAATCAAAACCATTGATTATATCCATGACTCCGTCTTCGGCTAAAAGAAGTTTCATGAATCTTTTTGGATCCTTCAGCAGCCTCTGATTTGCATCTGTGTTCCATTGCATGGTCAAAGAAAGACCTCCGATGATTAGTTTTGTACTCCAATGGAATTCAGTGTCTACCTGCTTAGCAGTTCTAAGCATAGTGGCATAACCACTGATCCATTCAGGAATATCATCTGAATACTGCCTCCAACAAATTTCGTTTTAACCGGATCGAAAAATTTGATAAGCGGCATCTCTAGAAATATAATTATTGAACTTGCAATTATCAAATTCATTTCCTAGGGTGTGAGTGTGTGACTGTGTGGCTGTGAATGGATGTGGGGTGTGGGGATGTTGAAAAATTAATATATCCATACCCAGCCCCACACCCACTCTTACACCGACACCCACACCCACACGCGCCTACACCCACCTGTTTCTCCAGCGTATGCATAGTTGTAGTTCGAATAATAAATTACGAAAGTTTTTACTGACATCGGTTGACATAATTAGACTTTTCTAAATTATGAAAACTGATTTCAAATACTTCATCTATGAGTTTCTGCCCAAATCGACACCAATTTCACGTTACCATTTCTCTGAATTTGATTGAGAAACCATACAAATATCAAATTTCAGTACATAGAAGAAATAATTGTGACATATGAAATATCTCTGTAAGTATTTATGGACTTCACACGTGCTGTGAATCATTCGTTGACTTTTCTAGTAAAAACGTTTTTTGATCATCACCACAATCACGATTCATAGATCAATGAATAAAAAAAAAACATGTTGTCTACCGAGATAGTTTATTTAAATGTATCTTCTTCACTAACTTTCATTAAAATGTTTCCATTTTACACTTCATATGCCTTAATATTCTATCTATTTGTAAAATGCAAAAAAAGTTATTGTTGTATTCTAGTTGCCTGTTTAAGCATGTTTAGAAAGTACTTGGCGAATATAAGAATCGTTCGTGCACCTAATGAAAAAGAACGCATGGTAAATAAAATCATAAAATATTACAAAACATACGCTGTAATAAATTCTTCTCTGCTTAATTTACTGTTTGCATTAAGATCAAACGCAGCAATAATTCCAGCAGCACGTGTTTTCGGATTATTAGGACCACTTTGATCAGTTACGCCATTTACTCCATACTAAAAAATAAAATTGTTTCTACTCCAACAAAAACAAAAATATTATGAAAAGAATTTACCAGAGCTGTAATCAGTGAGGTTAATTCGTTCTGATCGATTTGTCCATCTTGCGAAAGATCGTATCTATATAAAAGAAAAATCTGTTGAATAAAATTAAAAAAAAGAAGCAACAACAGAAACGTACGTATCAAATATATCGAAAAGTCGTTGATGAAGATCGCTTCCTCTTGTAGCTGCAATGATCCAAAGAAGGTCACTAAAAGCAATTGTTCCATTGTGAGTATGATCACATGTATCAAATGCATATCTAAACAAATAAAGATTACATAAATAATTAAGAATAAACTAATTTGTTGCCTGCAAAAGTGTTTTGCATCGATTTCAGGAAAAAATCGCTCATAAGCGTCAAGAAACTTTTGCTTATTAACTCGACCATTTGGACAATCACGTATAAAATTCTAAACAGAAAAATAATTCAAATCTTCAAGAAAACGTATTACAGATTCAACTTTCTTCATGCCATTGTGAAATTTCTAAATTAGATTAGAAGCAAAACAATGTATCAAGAAATATTATAATTATTACAATTTTCACGTACCACTCTCCTTTAAATGAGTCTTCCTTTGAAGCATTGCCATTTCTAAAAAAAAACAATAGATTAGAAAACATAATCATTTAATAAACGAACGTTTTGGAGTCAATTTTGTTGAATCAACTTTTGATTTGTTGTTGCTCATGCTAACTGATGTTTGTATTCGACGGTGAAAACGAAAATCTGAAAAAGACATATTTCATACTGCTTCGAGCCTCCTTTTATAGTGACTCTCATGGTAATAAACATTAATTATCATTTATTGATAAATATATGGTGATAAAATATACAAAAAAAAACAGGTTCTAGAAAATGTTTTTTTTATGCTTATAACGAGAAGGACACAGAGTGTAACTAAAAATATGACCTTAATCATCTACATATATTTACTATCATAGAATTAATTAAAACATGTTACTTTGCATTTTATGCATTAGAAATGGTTTGAAATATATCATATATCTATTAATGTTCACAAATTTCGAACTAAAACCAGGAAATAAGATGATAAAGAGAAAAAAGAATATTTGTTTTGATTGTTTGAAACTTCATAACATCAATTATACGACCGAACAAAAAAACAAATATCTTCCTTTATTTTTTTTTCTATTTACCTTTACTTTTAAATGAATACCAAAACAAAATTGTGAGTTTATATCTATATTTATTGTTGCTATTTTCATTCGAATCATAATTAAGGTTTTCATCAATATTACGGAGAAATATTTAATAACATATTTTGCACTTATCGCTCTATATATTTATTTCATTATGAGTCACACTAGATGCACAACACACTGTTTTATATTTTCTGTATTGAAAAAATATCTCACCTGTACAATCAAATAAATATTTTTAGAAATGAAAGTCCTTGTATTTTGTCAAAGTGTTAAATAAAAATATGAATTACCGATAAATAAACTTGAATGTTGAGATATTATCGAACACTTAACTTTAGTCGTACTTGTTTTTTTTCATCTGCAGACCTCGAAATGTATCAATAGACAAGCACTTCTAATTAAGGCAATTCATACGCTGAACTTATGAATATCATACAAATGAGGATATGCGGCACGATCAACTACAACAAAAGAGTACGTCTTAGAAATGACATGGTGGAAAAAGGAAGAAGGGAGAAATGTCGAGGATAATAAGAAGAAATATAGAAACGGAAAAATATAGAAACAAACTGAATAACCATAAGAGACTGTTATAATAAAATGGTTAAAATATGTCTTTTCTGATTGGCTCATGCCATTAAAAGTGTTCATTCTTTAGGTAAAGATATACGAATCGATCTCTTGTTATTTTATATATGCTGACCACTATTTCTAATACAATATCATTCACTATTTCTCAAAAAGGCAAAAAAATATTGAATATAGAGAATTTCATATGTAAATTGAATGAAACGAGTACAAAAAAATCTTATTGATGCTTAGATCTGCATTGTACTGTAAATGTATTACTTATCTTGATGATATTATCTTAAGCATTAAAGATGACTATTGTCACCCATCTTAACCAGAAGAAGCACGAATTCGAATATTTAAACAAGCTATAAAAACGTGTGCTATAAATGAAAGTACATTTCTCCCACAAATTCAGAATGAAAAAGCAGCACGAATCGATCTATCAACATTGGCAATTGCTGCCTTACATATTCATTATGACAATGGTGATGTTACTCGTAATGACCTTTTAGAAGGATTATCCTTCGTTGTTGCTAAAATATCAGATAAAACAATATGGATGCTATTATCCTCCATGAAGTAGCATTCACCCAAAATGCTCGTTATAATTTATATTTACTTTGCATTTACTTAATAAAATTTGTTACAACTTCATAAACATTATTTTGTATTCAGATATTTTAACTTTCGATATTTTTCCCTTTCGATAATTTCTATTCGACATTTTTTCTTTTTCCTAGACTGAAAGGATAGGGTCTAGAAACGGAAATTCACCTGTGTTTGTCTGTCTGTCTGTAACACTTGGTACAAATGACCATTTTGGTGGTAAAAAGTACTATTTTCGTGGTACAAGTGACCATTTTCCTGGTATAAGTGACCATTGTCGTGGTACAAAGTACCAAAGTCGTGATACAAGTGAGCATTTTCGTGGTACAAGCGACCATTATCGTCGTACAAAGTATCAAAGTCGTGGTGCAAGTGACCATTTTCATGGTACAAAGTACCAGAGTCATGGTACAAGTCACCGTTTCTGTGGCTCAGTTCTCCATTTCCACGGCACTATCAACCATTTCCATGGCACAATTGACCATTCTTATGGCTCAAATGAGCATGTCTGTGTCACAATTGGCCATTCCCGTATTAGAAATGGCCATTGCTTTGGCATAAATCACAATTTCTAATCGCTATAATTAACTAAAGCTTAAACTTTATCATATACATTAGCATCTTTCAATATTTTATCTGAAATATTTGTGTATATCTATAGTATGTAATATAGAACATGTTACAAAGATTAATAATTTCTCCTAAACTCATCATTATACAGAATTCAGTTTTATTTAAATATATAACGGTGTGGGTGTGGGTGTGGGGTGGGTGTGGGTGTGGGTGGGTAGAGGTGGGGGTGGGGGTGTGGGTGGGTGGAGGTGGGGGTGGGAGTGTGGGTGGGTGTGGGGTGTGAGTGGGTGTGGGTGTGAGTGGGGTGTGGGTGTGGGTGTGGGTGTGAGTGTGGGTGTGGGTGTGGGTGAATGGAGATATATACTCGCACCGGCACCTACACCCACGCACCCACACCCACACACCCGTACCAACACACCCACACCCACACCCACACCAACACCCACACACCCACAACCACACCCATACCCAGAAAAATGTGTGAACCTTCTAATAATAGAACAACTTCTACTGGTTAATTTCCTTCACACGAGGCGCATTAATTATTCGAGAAAAGTGGTTTTGAAAACCGGTGTAAAAATGTCTTTGGAAAGTATTTTGGAAAATGAGAAGTATTTTTTACTTTATATGGATAGAAGCGAGAATTTTTTTATTAAGTGAAACATAAAATAATCCCAAAAAATAAAGTAAAGATAGTGATAACGGAGATATAAGAAACTGCTAGAAACTTTTCTAATATACTCAATTTTACGTTATCCCCATTTTGCTTCGTTAATGTATGAACATCGTTGATATTAGTTTGTTTCTTTAAATTATTTTGTGGCGACCATGTTATTTTTCGATTGTTCTTATAATCAGAAATAATAAAAGAATTATCTTTTTTTTCAATAATTATATTTGGAGGTTCATTGGATTGAATCCCTTGGTTTTCATGTAAGATTGTTTGTTTACTATTTTCATTAGATTCCCATTTTATAGTACGATTGTTTTCAACATCACAAATACGAATATTCTTATCCTCATCAATAAATATGGCCGTAGGATAAGATAGTTGAATTGATTCATTTTTTGAATGATTGTTTTCGGTAATTGTTTCTTTATATTTTTGTTCTTTCTTCTCTAAATACAAAGAAAATCTTTTGAAAAATATTTTTGTAAAATAGCACAGAAAGAAATCTTTTCTTTAAATTAATTACTAAAATTTGCAGACAGTGTTTCGCGCCAAAGGTATTGATCGATGATATCTTTAAGTTTTTTTTCTCGTTCTGGATCGAGTAATTGAATGATAGATTCGTACTCCTCTTGTTCAATGATACGCCATAATGATGGTTTAACTATGGTATTTATCCAACGATGTGGATCATGGCTCCATCGTGTGTCACCTCCAATCGCTTGAAACTCTCTCAGTGATGTTTGCATAGATGTTTTCTTTTCTGTTTGTTGATTAGATTCAATATTTGTGTTGAGTTTACTTGATTGAAAAATCAACGACCATATAGATATATTCATATTGATTGATTTTTTAGCTTGTTCAGCTTCCTGTCTTGTATGATACTCTTCTATGTGATAAAGTTGACTACCTAATGTAATTAAACGTGGATAAACATGACCATAGACAGAGAAAAGCTTCTTTAATTTATCAATTTGTTCATCTTTGGCTTCAGTCGAAAGAATGTCATTAATTTGTTCATTGAATTCTGGTGTTAATTCAAGATAAGATAAATCAACTTTCAAAATAACGCGTGGAAAATTTAAACAGCGTGTTAAATATGCTTTCGTTTGTATGCTTGATGCATTGCTATTTCTCGAATATTGTGTATTTATGCCAAAACTAATATAAGGATTAGATAATTGAGTATTATTCTCGAAAAAATTGCTAGAAAGAAATGAAATATCCATTTGTTTATCGTTAATGTATGCACGAATATAAGAATCATCTTTAATTTTAAATAAAGGAAAAGTTTGATCCGATGCTTTGAATTTCAATATGGATCTAAAAGCACGTTTAGGACTTTGTTGGTCTAATATAATACCTTGAAGTATATCACAGTTTTGAAAGATTTTTTCCCATACTGTTATATCGATACTGGTTGGTAAGATTATATCATTTTCTGTATGTGTTGATGTTATATTAAATTGATTTGTAGAAAAATTTGTCGATCCACGTAATAGTCGATTATAATTCATATTAGTTTTTCTTCCGAATAAATTATTTCTTGTGTTTGACATCGATACTAAATTTGATTTACTTGCTAATCGAATGAGATTATTTTTAGTTAATAATTCTTTGATTGTAGTTGATTCTTCATCTTTAGTATGTAAACGACTACCTTCATCATCAAGAAATCGGGTATGATCAGCTATACAATATCGTTCGAAAAGTTCCTTCCGAAGTTGAGCAACCGTAAGTGAATGAGGTATGTTAATTCGATGTCGTATTCCATCGATATCAATATTTATTGTAGATGGTTTGCGAGAAAATATTAGATTGTAGATATTATTAGAATAGTATTTCTTACTTAACTTTATACAATCAAATAAGCGTGAACGAATCATTCGTTGAATACTCGCAAATAATACTTGTTTCGATTGAGATAGTAAGTGTTAGATTCAAAGATGTTCTTGTGTATAGATGTAAGAGAACTACACTTAAAACGAAATCCAAATCTAATAATGATAAGTATAGAGTTAAGATAATAGAATATACCAAGGATAGAGATAGGATACAGTTAGAAATATACCTAAATGACGATAAGGCAGCGAAAAGGAAAAAACCAAGAAAACATACTATGTAAAATACCTGACAGAACGAAAGCAAAGATATAGTGAATAACATATATGGATATTTTGTTTACTGTGATTCATCTTATAGCATGTTGCAGATACGAGCCACAACAATAACAACAAAAAAAAGACATCGTTGATAATAAATATTTCTTTTTCTAATATATAGATGTGTCTGACATCTCTTTGTCTGTTATCAAACGTGGCTCATTGATATACTATTTAATACTGTATCTTTCGTTTTTTAACTTATCATTTTCTGTTGGAAAGAATAATTCTTCTTCGTCCATGTAAAAAGAACGTAATAATAGACGATAGTTGAATTTAACAATCGCATATTTCATATATGAAAGAGAATCTCTATAAATCTCTAGACTAGGTCGAGCAACATCCTATTTCGTTCTTAAAATACTAATCAAGAAATTTATACGAATATAATCATGTCACAATTAGCAAAAGATTGTTTAAAAGATGAACTTTTCGATTGCAATCAGAACAGCGTCAACGCTTACAACTTCATCATTGTCGATCTTATTCGAATCCATTGCAATTTATGAAAAACTTGCTGGAACATCGAAATAATTCACATGCATCATTCACATCATATTTAGGCAGTATTATTTTCAATACATTTAAACTTCCCATATCATAAACTTGATCATTTATTCATAAACAAGAATTTTTGATTGATAATATTTATTTTATTTTCTATTTTAAAAAGATTACTTAGGTCGTACAAAAAGTTCCCAGATTGCTATTGGAAATTTCAAAGTGTGGGTGGGGTGTGGGTGTGGGTGTGTGGGTGTGTGTGTAGGTTGGTGTGGGTGGGTGTGGGTGCTTGGGTGCGGCTGGGTCTGGGTGTGGGTGTGGGTGTGGGTGGGGCGTGGGTCTGGGTGTAGGTGTGACTTTGTTCATTATTTTTATTAAAACTCACACATGCCTACACCCACTCACCCACACCCACACCACCCACACCCGCACCCGCCCACACTCACATCCACACCCACACCCACACCCCCACCCACACCCCCACCCACTCGAATTTTGAACTGAACTTAATCAGTTTTATAAACAATTGAATAATGAATCGTTTTATTGGTCTTTCAATTTTTCATTTATATCTTTCTCTGCGTGGTTCAGATATTTCTGTTGTTTTTTTTTTGTATTGTTCTCTTTATTTAGTCATAGTAAATAAACAAATTGCCGTGTGTGAATAGATATAATCTGAACAAGTAGCCATGACCGATGAGTCTCTTAAGCGGGAACGAACCCGGTCATGGCTGCTTATTCTTCATGAATAAATGCTGTAAGTAGTAAGTGATGTTAAAAAATACATTACTTTATCTACTAAAAGCTATGACCATAAAAGAGAATCGATGATAAATCTCAGTTTTTATAAAATACTAAATCTTTTGAATAAAAATGATAGGAATTCGTAATAGTTTCAAAGAAGATTATACGAATAAATCCATTTTTGGATCGTTTTAATCTCATAAAGACCTACCCATAGCCAAAATATTGAATCAAACAGCGTCAAAATATTCTATATATTGTTCTAATAATGCAATATTGACATACAATGGATTGTTCAACGAAAAGCTAATAGTATAATTTTATTTCTATATATTTCAGTGCTCAATTGGCCTATTGTCTTCAACAGCAAAATAAAAATGTCGGAGCATTAATCTTTACCTTATACAACGATGTACTTGAATCAAAATATAATTTATTTATTTGTCATTTTAAGTTTTCATTATATTTAATTAAATAGACTAACAGATCTAGCTATTTTTTGCAGTTGCATCAAATAATTTAGCTGTACTTAATCGTGATCAAAATTTATTTGATTTATGGAAACGTGTTAAAACAGCAACAGCACCGGAAACTGAACCGAAATTAAATACATTTCAAAAAGAAAAACATTGTTCAAGTTCATGAAGTATTATTAACTATTTATACTGGATAGGTTTATAACAAAGATAGAAGAATATTTAATCTTTTTCTGTATATTTATAGCATAAAACAGCACTACGTATTCTTGACAAAATGATACAAAAAAAATGTTGATATTGAAGACACAATTCCATTAGCAAAAGTTTCATTATTCATAAAGAAAAAAAATTAACTGAAGCAACACAATTATTACAAGTAAATAAGCAAAAAAAGACAATCAATAAAATAAATTGAATTTTTTTGTGTTTAGGAATTTATTGAAAATAATAAACAAAAAACGTTTTTCATTTTATTGTCTTTTAAAATATGTTCAACTTCTTCTTTCACAAGGTTTAATAATAATAGAACATTTTTAATCTAATAAATTCTTTTCTTTTGTTTCTTGTAAAGGAAAAGTTACTTAAGCATGTGATTATTTAAGAAATGATAATGAATCATCAGTTAAACCTGGTATTGTAGCAACATTAGTAACACTTTATAATTATATGGAAGATTCAAAATCAACTGGTCAAGTACTTAATGAATCAGTTGATCGTTTGTATAATCTTGAAAAATCTAAATACAAACATTCACGTTCACTGGCTTATTTAATAAAACAAAATATTATTTATCAAGAAACACAAGGCAATGTACAACGTGTTACAGAAACTCTTAAAATTCTTCATAAATATTTTACATATTTCTATTGAATATTTTTTTTTAATTTTTAATTTCTTTTTTTAGGCTTTATCCAAATAATACAAATACTTTTCAAAATTAATTGTTCATTGCTTAAAATCGAAACCTGAACGAGCTAATTTGTAAAGTTAATTATTTTTATTTTATTTGAAAATTTCTTTTTTTAAAATAGATTAGCACGAAAACTGTTATCGATTAAACAATTATCTGAAGGTATTGATGCTGATATGCTTGAATCAACATTGGATAAACGAATACCGAAATCAGAAAAAACAATTGAAAAGTAAATTAATCATTATTTTATTAAGAATATTTAATAAATATGAACGTTTTTTTTTTTTGAAAGGACTAAAGTAGATGATTCAGGTTCGAAATCAACTAGTGCAGTTGCAATAGGTGTTGCTACATAAAAGAAAAAACAAAAGCGAAAAAGTAATTTTATCTTAATCATAGTTTTGAAGAAAAAAAAACTTCTTCTTCTTAAGTTCGTTTACCGAAGAAATATGATCCAACATCAAAACCAGATCCTCAATTTTCATTACCATTGTGTGAACATTCATATTATCGTAGTAAATGAGGAAAACGTAGTAAACAAGCAGCTGTTGGTAAAGTTACATAAGGTGCAGTTGGATCTGATCAATCGGCAACTAATACTATAACAACATCAACTGGTGCGCAAAAATCAATGTCAACATCAAAAACAACAACTGGAACAACTTCAACTGAACCAAAATCAACACCATCACCAGGAAATTCAACCACAGGAAAAAGAAAAGGCAAACGTGAAAAATTTTTGATACTAAAAAAAAATTATCATTGTTTCATCGAAAGCTCTTTTTAGCAACAAAATAAAAACGAATTTTAACAGAAATATTCTTTAAGGATATAACGCAAACTATGTAAATATTACATTGTGTCAGCGGAAGTATTTTTTCCTACGTGTTGGGCTTCTCATCAATTTATCACGCTTCCTTCAGAGACTACATTTGTTACAAAATTGTTGGAGAATTACAAAGAACAAAATGAGAAATTGATAACTTGTTAAATAACAAATTTCAGAGAATGTCAATTTCTATTGATCAAAAAACATGATGCCATTTTGCATCATATGACTAACTTGTTTCAATAAATCCGGGTATTTATTAATCACTGGTTGCTGTGATAACGGTTGAATGTAGATTTTTTTTCAACTTAAAAAAAATTACTGATTACTAATTTCTATAAATAAATTATTAAAATATAAAAGCTTTTAGTTACTGTTGAAAAATGTTCTATGATAGCAAACAGGTCGACTGTCATAAATTCACACTCTATAAATATCTCCTTTACGACTATTTGGGAAATCACATGATCGCATAGGAGAGGACGGTCTTGAAAATAACGGATGAAGCAAGATGAATGGTTGCTATTTTCGTGTCATCTTGTCGTGGTCCAATATTTTTTCTTAAAAAGCAAATTATACTGCACGATGCAGAGGAAACAGCACTATAATTTACAAAGAAAATAGAGATGTCCATGCTCGTGCCGCCATCATAGCGAAAGGTTTCCAGCCACGATGGACAACTCGGAAAGTAATGCTTATTTTATACGTATACATAGACCGCCAGCTCTTAGAAGAGAGAAGACAAAAGAATAAAAAAGGAAGAGAGGAGAAGAACAAAGAGAACATCAAGAAGACGATACATATGGAAGACAAAATGTGATCTAGTTAGGGCATATCAAAAGCATCAAGATTTATCTTACATCATAGTAAAGAATGCTTGGCGAGAATTTCTGTTCATATATCATTGCGATGCTAGTAGTGCTCTATATTTATTTACTGCATAATCATTATTGAATCGAAATTGTTACATGAGAAACTTAAATGGAACCTATGCACATCTATTTATGGATCAATAAAGGAAATTTTCGTTTTGATATTAAAGCGCCTGTTGCAATTAATATAAAGGAAGAAATTCGTATATGATGGATCGTATTCGGTTTGCGGCAGTCAGGCTCCATGACATTATACAGTTGCAAGTTGGTCAAAATGGTTTCATAAAAAATGCGAACAACTCAAACGTGACCCATGGTTTATTCAATATGTAATCGAGACGTCATCTGAAAATATCGATGAGGTTCGTTTTCTCGTTGGTGATAATTTGCATTACATGATGGATGAAATGAGAGTGGCAACTGCTATAATTAGTGATATCATCAAAAAAGTCAGTTGTGAGGATCTTAAAGTAAGAACAAGTTACCGCTACTTGGGTATCCAACCAGCTATCTGATACTCAACGTGTTAAGTAAGTCAGAAGAAGTATAGAAGATTTAGCATAATTTGAAGAGTACATGGCAATTATGTGGCATAGTGACAAACAACAAATGATGGTTCTATCATAAACAAATTGACCGTAAGTCATCGAAGGCTGTCTGGAAATCAAGATAATGGACCCAACCTATTATATCTCGACTAAACAGCTTCACTTTGAAAAGTTATTCTACAACATTTTTTGAGAAGACGGACTGCATGTTCATGCATCATGTAAAATAAGGATAAGCAATTGATTACTAATATAACATCAATAAACGTTTACAATCATTTGACAATATGCGAGAAAACAAAGACTAGAATATGACACATACACTATCAAACTTCGCCAGGATAACGCCAAATCACATGTTCATGAAGATATTTATAATTATTTCAAATCGAAAGGTATCAAAATTATTCGATAACCAACAGATTCTCCAGACATAGTAGTATGTTAAATTTGGTTATACGATCTGGTTAAACAAACTCTAATCTATTAGCACAACTCGGATTTCTTGCATTGTGCCGTAACCAAGGCTTTTAATTTATTGAGTAAATATAACTCTAGAAAAAGCATTTAATTAGTGGCTTGAATGAAAATAATTTTGTGTAAATAATCAGAGCAACTACGCCAAACATTCAATGAAAAAAAAGTCTTGATTAACTTCTTTCTGTACCTTTTTTCGTCAAAATTCCGTTACTTTTTGTATACCTTAAATAATATTACCTTCATACTTCATAGAAAACAGCTCTTATCAAAATTTTATAATTATGGTTCTATTTAAAGAATGATCAAATATGACAGGAATATCGAGCATTATTTTTACTATGACACTACCCACGGAAAAA